GTTTGCATATAGCTACAGTAGAAGCTGGACAGTGTGGGGGAAGGTCCTTGGCTGCACTGGTACCTGGAAGGCTCCCCAGCGCTGGAACACATCCAGGAACAACTGTTCCTAGGACTGACTTGGGCAGGATTTGCAAGCAATGTCCTGAACAACCTCTGGACATAGTCCAGACATAGTCCAGAGGTTAGTTCAGGTCAGGGCTAATTTCTAAAGGCAGTTTGCATGTGTCCACCTTATTTAAAGGTTTAACAAAATGTATCTGGGCTCTTACATGGAAATTGGCCTCAGTTTAAGAAAGTAGCCCTGGGAGTATTTAGTCTAATAATCAAATGTCTAGTATCATTATAAAACCAGTCTAATAATTAAATAGCTATGATCTAATGTCTAGAATAGAAATCTGAGCCTTTGAGTCTCAAAGTGAAAAGCAATTTTACACCAAAGCATAAACCTGATGTGTCATTGATTCCTCGCCCAGTTATGAAAATTGTTGTGAGGACCCCAAAACCTGAATCTCAGAGACCAAAAGGAGTAGCAAGATATATGGGTTATGAGAATCAGTGGGATTACTCAGAAGATAAAGTTCTTCTTGTGAATGGAAGTGCTCAAAGACTAATTTTGTTAAGGGGAGAAATTGCCAAACATTTTCTCTTTGAGTCTTAAGACCTCCTTAGAAGTCATGATGAACTTCCAGCAAATTACATTCTCAGGTAGGAACAAGTAGATGATTCACTGACCAAATTTCCACACTGAGGAGTCAGATGATAAGTCTCTTTGGTACAACTCCAGATCAAGGCTGAGCCTTGCATGGAATTAGACTTTAATCGAAGATGGAAGTTTTGTCTGCACTCTGCTAGTACCTGCTCAAATGCCGACATCCTTGCTGAAATATGCTTCTTTCCCAAAGAAAGGGGCCCATAAATGAAATTATACTAGTAAAATAGAGTTTGTTGCTGCGTTCCTGATCTCTGCCAAGGCTATCAGGGGATGCCAAAGGACTTGAGGGTATTTGTCTCTTGTCTTCTGTGCTGAACTCATGGTCTCTACCAATTACTTAGCTCTCACAAGGGCTTATGGTGTCTGCCCATTGCTACACTTCATATGCAGAAGGATTTCTGCAGGGGATGCAGAAATTAGTTATTTACCAAGTACCCATAAAACTGTTATTCTGTACAAATGTTATCTATTATTCTTTGCTTCTATAAAAGCAGTGACATGGAACCTGAGCATCATGTGTGAAGCCACTACTGCAGTATGTGATAAAGACATGTCTATGTCCGCTCCAGTATCTTCCCACACAGTTAAATCAAATTTTGAAATGTATTCTTTGGGCTCTATTCATACCACAAACAGATCAAGTATTAGGGGGTTTTGCCTCTTTAAAAAGAAAAATCTCCTTGATCCTGTCTTAGCAAAGTAAAAGGGCGAGGGAGGCTGTACAAAATAAGATATTTCTCAAGAATTTGGAGCTCTATCTAAAGAAGGAAAACAGGAAAGCACGTGAGTTTTGATAGAATAAATACAAGACCTCAATAAGTAAAGCCAAAAAAGTTTTTAATGGAACAATCTGTAAAACAAATACTTGAAATCTAATAATAAATAGTTTTAAAAAAAATGAAGCTTGTCAGAAACCATTGAGCAAATAGATGATTGAGGTAAATTAAAAGATTTGTTAAAGGATATAAGGTGATAGCACAAAGCATCAGTAAGTATTTGGTACTACAGACTTGTCTTCAAGAGGAACATGAGGGAAGATCACTCTCAAATGAAGTGCCAGTTGAAGGGGTTAGAGGAAAAAATCAGCATCACATCGGCTGGACATTTTACTCTGATACAATATGATGTTTATGCCCCTATATATTGCTGTTGCTATATGATGAATTTCCAAAGATTTTTCTATTTGGCCTAAAAATGCTTGACTTGGGAGGATGCATCATCCAAGCATGACAGAACTCCACCTGTCCTCTGGAACAGGGAAGACACCACCAGCAGTATAGAATCTCTTCTGCAACCACTTGTGTTGATAAATCGCATGAGCAGTTCGGTGTAGGGATCCAGCAAAGCAAGAGCATAAAGAAAACCAGCGATCTAGCACTAAAAAGAGTAACCACTTGTGAGTTAATAAAAGTGTTAGCAGAACCTGGCCCGGTGTTACTAGGAAGAGAGGAGAACATTAAGGGCTGAAATGATAACAGTTTTCTAGGGCTTACTTGGAGAGATTGGCTGCAATGGACAGCTCCATCTAACGTTTAGTGGTGAAACCTCTCAAGCCTGCCAGATTTAGATACTACAGAGAAAAAACAGGCAATAGAACTTTTACAGAACTCTACCCAACAACACTAAAGGATCGCCTCTCTTGCAGAACACAATCTCAAATTTGAAATATGGAAAAGTAAACCTCAGGTCTCCCAGACTTCTGGGAAAATGGTTTAACAGAGCCTACATCAAGAACAATATCCCAGAAAACATTCCTATTCCCGTCTCTTTAGAAATGGTTCCCCTGTGTTTATCACTTACCTGAAAAGGCTATTGCTAGTCTTTTCAAAAGTACTCCATCCATATAAATGAATTTATGGCAAGGTAAGGCCATGTCAGACACTCATGACCAACATCAGAAATAGAAATATTTTTCCTGAAAACCTGTGATGGAGCTTATATATTTTCCAGGAGCGAACCTGTAAGAACAGAGGTTGAGTATACACTTCCCACAGACAAAAAAAAAAAAAAAAAAAAGTTTGGTCCAAATTTAATGTACCCATGCTCCAAGATGAACTGTTGCTTTGTGCACAAGAGTCTGATCTTTCTAATACAGAAATGTCTGTACTTGTCTCAAAGTCTCAGCATTAGCTCCTAACCCTAAGGCTGTATATTAGGTGGAGAATGCATCAGGAAATGAAAAAGGAAAAGAAGCACTGGCTCAAACTGACAGCTCAGCACTGAAAAGAAACAAGAAGATCCCTCTCAGTCAAGCTCTGTTCCCAAGTGGAAGAGACGTGTTACACAGCAGTTCTCTAGACAACTGTACCAGTATGTAGTACTACTTCAGCTCTCACAGTTGCTTTATGTGTACAAATGGGTCTCATTTTTTCATGACAGAGACTTAGAAAGGCTGACCAGCTTTGTCAAAAGCCATTTAGAAAAATATTTAGAGAAATATTTAGATTGGAATGTGTCTCTGAAGGTCATTGAGTCCAATCTTTCACTTACAGCAGAGCCAACTTCAATGTCAGATCCAGTTGCTTGTCCTGTCGTATTGCGAATATATTCAAGGATGGAGATTTCACAGCCTCTCTGGACACCTGTTCCAGAGACCATCCAACCATTCTCACCTGTAAGTCATTCTTTTTAGTTATATCAAATTGGACTTTCTCTTGCTGCAGCTTGTAACTGTTCACTCTCATCCTCACAAAGTGAGGACAAGTCAATTCTGTCTTCTCTACAAACAATGCTAGATCCCCTTAGCTTCTATTCTCCAGGCTGAAAAATCTGTTCCTTCGGACCCTCATAATCATCTTGGTGCCCTGCTGGTGAACTTATCCAATTTGTAAATGTCTGTCTTGTACAAGGAGGCTGAAATCTGGACATGGAAATGCATGCGCAGACTCATGAGTGCTGAGTAGAGAGAATAATCACTGCCCTTGACCTGCTGGGTCCACTCCTCCCAGTATAGCCTAGTATGTGGATGGTTTTCATTACCATAAGGAAGAACTTCCTTGCTTCCTTCCTTCCTTCCTTGCTTCCTTCCTTCCTTGCTTTCTCCCTTCCTTCCTTCCTTCTTGTGTTCAGTTTGTTGTCCACCAAGACCTCAGAGCTTTTTCTGCAGACCTATCAGTCAGTCGTTCTCTAGGATACACGCAGTTATTTTTTTCCCAGATGTGTGGCTTTTCATTTACTTCAGGAAGTTCCTATCGACAAGTTTCTTCAGCCTATCAAGAGCCCTCTGAATAACAGGCCTGCCCTCCAGCATATCAGGCAGTGTCCTCAGTTTGCTGTCATCTGCAGTCTTGCTTAGGCTGCATTTTATCCCATTGTCCAAGTCACTGTTAGTACTGAACTCTATGAGTCAGCATTGATCCTTGAGGAGCATCGCTTGTAACCAGTTACTGCATTCAACAACAGCCTGGGCTGTTTTCCCAATATCTTGTCCTGGGCTGTTTTCCCAATATCTTGTCCTAACTGTATGGCTCTGAAAAATTATTGTCCAGCTGAGTAGTAAGTAGTAGCAGCTGTGTCCATTTGAACAAAAGGACACAGATATTAACTGAGTCAAGCACTCAATGTTTTAAAATACCAAGCTGTTGAAGAAGAATGAAAGTAGTAAAATGGCAAGTGAGCATTAAGAACATAAAGAGCTTGATACCCATAGAAGTAAATTCTGGGCTGATACCAAGTTAATGGTGGCTGATCTCGTAATTTATAAGTAGCACACTTAAGCTCTAGGATTAGATATACTCCTGTCCTTTGAGATACCTGTTGATTACAAGCCACCCCTCAATGTGTCAGCCTGTTTTCAATCTCATTCTCAATTTTCTAGTTGCTCATGTGTACTTCAAGATTCCTGAGGAAACTTCAAGTATAAATAGGCTCATTCTTGATAGTAGAACAATGTCATTCAGGCAGCATAATTTTTTTTTTAATTTTTATTCATCCCAATAAATTAATTCTTATTCTTTTTAATATGAAACAAACCCATTATTTTTCCTTGAACAAATTAAAATGGAAGTAAAATTTCTTGACTGAAATATTTCAATCATATGCACAAAATGGAAGATACCTAACAAAGACAAGTTTCCCAAACAGTTAAAGTTAGCCAAAATTAAATCAAATATAATGGCATTTAAAAAAATTACATATGAGGTATCATTCTCTCTTGGCTACACTACTGCTTTTGCCAAGAAAAGGAAAAAAGTGAAGAAAACCTATATATTATTCCAGACTTTCCACATGAATATACAGTTGCCTGAGGTAAGAAATACACTTTCAAATTCCTCATTTTTTCTTGGTTATTTCAGTGCATCAGCAACTAATATTATCTCTTCGTTTTCAGATGTTATTGACTGAATTTTGCTCTCCATCAGCTGAAAGGAAAATAAAAACTTCCATTACTTTTATACATAAGATTAGGTTAGCCTCTTCTTACTTACGCACAATTTCAGCTTTTGGTACATGTTTTATGAAAATATTTCGCTGCTGTATTTCTGAGCTGATAACCTTTCCTTAGCTGGACATAACTGAAATTTCAGCAACTTTGTGATGCTGACGTGTGATTTTTGACTGGCCTGTAAGTGGACAGGGAGAGCGTGTGATTTTCTCCAATGCACCACGCAAATTACCGCAAATAATCTCAAACAAATTAATACAAAAGGATTAACTTTGCTAAGGTGTGAAAGTAGATGAGTACACATTGGCCTGAAGTTTAGTTAATTGAACAGACCGTGAGAAATTACTGGATGTAACATGATAAATTGCTGGACAAGAAGAGGGTGTAAGTGAGCTGCTGGCCCGTGTGTTGGTCTGGTCAAATGCTGTGTGTTACCACCGCAGTCTGTCCTGTTGCCCTACAAAATCCTATTTTGAACTGTTTTTTGTGTTACCTTGCTTTCTATCCTGTGTGTCTAACTTGTGAACTTCACTGAAACCGGACTAGTGAGTGAGTAGGAGAGACCTGTACCTGGAGACACGCAGACTGAGAGCTGATGGGTCTAGACACAGAGACCAGATGTGAGGAACTTGTGAATTTATGGTTGTTGTGAATGAAGAGAGTGAGGGGGTATGCTCATCTCACCGGGAAACTTCAGGCCTGCTCGGCTGGAGAGGAGCCAGAGGGCTGGGATGTCTGCAACCCTATTTAGGTAACTGCTGTTGGTGTTGACGTGGTGCCAGCAAAGGCGCCTGTGCTGGTCTTTGTGACTGGCTGCATTAATGTCCTCTGTGTGTCTCTTTGTACATGTGTGTGCCTTGTGTTGCGAAAACACACGGCCCTTGCTGCTGTCTGGACCTGCCAATACCTGCACCTGTGAGACTGGAACAGGAGAAACCCCCTGGTTCTGGAACAGCGCTGAATTTGATTTCTCTTAACAAACTTGCCTGTTGATTTTTCTCTTGTAATTCCTCAAAATATGGCAAAGAGAAGAGTTATTCTGTGTTAAGTTCCTTATAATTTAAAAATATACCTTCAGTAGAGTCTTGTATGCATTTCACACATTTAATATAAAACAGAAAGAAAACATACCTCTGGATTTGTATCATGCAGTCCATGAAATGCATTTTTTGGCTCTGGGATTTGTGGAAACGCTAGTTTCCAACAGTCAGTCCTGGAGATCAAAAGGGATGGAATAGAAAGGAAAAATCAAATAACCATCTGTGTGAAAACCATTGCACCCTCGAACCAGCTCTTATCTTCCCTTTCCAGGATAGAAGAGAAATGAAAAATACACATCATCTCAGCACAGAATGAACACATACCAGGAAAACACTAAGAATTTGGATGGTAATAGTTTCATTTTTTGTTTAAAGATTCTCTAGTAGTTATTTTCTTCTGTAAAATTAAAAGCAACTCCCAATTTTCCTACTCTTTAAGTCACTACCAGTGAAAAACAGATGTAAAAATTTTACAAAGTTGGAAGAACAGCATCTTCTCTGAATTACTGTATATTTCTATACAAAGTGTATAATACGACAGAATATCCTTTTTCTTCCTATTTCACTTCTATAGTTTATTTCAAGGAGCAAGTTCCTTAGTTTATGTGCATTCAGATACACTCAGCTAGGATAATTCTAGTGAACATTGCAAAATCTTTACTGGTAAGTACAATCAACCTCTGTGTTTGCAATAAATTCAGCGATTCAAGAAATCAGAAAACCTATTGCATAAACGGCCTACATTACATTGCAAGTACTCAGGGAAACAGTACTGTTAATATGAGTAATTGCATATGATTGCTCTCCTTGCCATGTTGACAGAAAAGGCCTTGGAAAAAGTTGTGTAGATCAGCTGGGGAGGCACTTGGGGCATCACCATTATAGTACCTGCCTCAGGATCATTCATTTGAATTAATTTCTACTACAGTGTGAGTGAAAAAGTTTTATGGATACTACAGAGAAACTTCTACCTTATTTGTTTAAGAACTGCAGATGTTTCACACGCACCCAAAATAGAATAAACACATAAATTAAGATCACCTTTTGCAGAACAAGATTGCAACAATTGCCACTAAGAGTGTTGCAACTGCTACCACAAGTAAAATCCATACTGAAGAAGAAATAATTTCTTCATTTCCTGAAAGAGAAACAGTCATAAAGTATCATTTTTAACAAAAAAGAATAGATGCACAGCTGGGTCCAATGTTTACTCTGGTGACCAACTGGTGAAGTCAGTCTGAAAGGTTTCTCTTGAAATAAAAATCAACTCTTTAATTTAGCATCTTAGCATTAACATCTGCTGGGAGGGATTAACATTGAGCCTGTTTGTCCATCCCTGTGGTAAGCAGGTACACATTTCAGCTTCAAATGTGTATCTTTCTATATTTATTTCTAATGTCAGAGTGTTAAGACGTATTATTTCTCTTCTTTCTCTTCTCAGTAATGTGGGGGGAAATAAAATGTTTGCCAAGCCTTCATGTATCTGTGTGTCTGTAGGTGCACGGCAATGTGTGAGGTAGACAGGACATTGCTGGGGGAAGAGTAGCCCAAGGTGTGGATTTTCATTCTTACCAAACTCAACAGGTGAGCTCCAATCCCCCCAGGCTGGGTTCACGAAGCAGGGACCACCAGCTGCTCTCATTTTCAAGAGGTACTTCTTTCTCGTATTGGATCTTTGAAATGTGTGACTATTCCCTCCTTCCTAAAAACAAATCAAAACTGAGTTGTTTTTCTTTGTTGCATGTCTAGGTATTGACACTATGCAAGTTCCATTTACTAGTGAAACTTTTACAAGGCTAGGAGAGTATCACTTGTTGAAGTAGATTGCTGTTAGAAAGCAAAAAATAAATGTATGCATGTTTACTATGTATATAATACGTATGTGTCCGTGTATCTCATTTAAAAAATAACATGTCACTCAGTAAACATTTTATATTTAGAAGCTTTTTGTCTTTTAAACTATATCCTGTAATTTCTTACCATATAGTCTGATCTATTGATAATTTCCCTTGGCACATTGACAGAGGCTGAAAAATATCTTGAATTGTCTCATTTCAATACTGCTAGAATTGGGTGATTTAAGGAATAAACATGCACCTCACCTTCCTCAGTCTTTGCATTATGACTTTTCGGGAAGAGCATAACTTTCCAGCCAAACTTGTGAATAAGTAGAAGACTGCAATGCTTAGTGTCACTAGAAGCAACTGAAGCATGCTTGCTTTTGGAGACTTTCAGGATAGAGGTGGGATGTATAAGCTGTACTGATTAGAAGGAGGTTCAGCATATCCGGAAAGCAGCATCCATCTCAAAGGGCTTTTGTGGTCTTCACTTTTTATAAACAAAATTAAATTCCTACAAGATATTTTCTCTGTGTCTGTTTTACCTGCATCTCTTTCCTCTGCTGTCGCTGGTGTGTAACTTCAAATTCTGTTTCAAACATTTGAGAAGGAGAGTGGACAATATAATGTAAAATGGAAGGTTTTTCAAAATACTTACAGAAGAGTAATAAAGTTCTGCCTTTAAATGTATGATAAATGACACATAAATGTCATGATGATTTAGCAGTTTGACACATTCATGAAATCTATAAATAACGATCTCATAAAGCACAGGACATTGAATACATGCTGATTTAAAGGAGTTTACATACTATTTACTTTTCACAAATGACTATGAAATTAATATGTATTGCTGATTAGCAGAGCAAGCACACTTACTTGTATAGAAGTATATATGGTTTTTCCCTCGGGATTATCCTATAAATTGAGAAAAAGAACTTTATTTTTATGACTGCTTATTTTATGTTTAGATAATAAGTAATTTTTATCTACTGTCCCCTTTCTCTCCATTACTCTTTCTTATCTACTTGACAGTTTTTTCAGAAGAACTAACACTTTATCTAACATTTAGTATCTAATATATAATTCATCTGCAATGCCAAGTTTATATAGTAACTAATTCTTCTATAGAAAACTATTTTTTTCCCTACCATCAGATTTGCAAAATAAATTTTATTTCAGATTGGGGATTAAACTGAAACACAAGCAAACAAGTCCTGAATGAAAACTATAACTTTATTCTTATACACACTAGAAAGAAAAAAAAAGATAAAAATCTGGAAAATCAACATTTTAATTCACATCTAGTGTTTATATTTTGCAATAAATGTCTCTATATATAATAGCAAATACTATGTAAATGTTGATTCCTTTTCCCTCAGATGAAAATATTCAGGACTGACATGGATTCACAGATATTTTAAGCTGCCCTCCAACTACGTTTTTGATAGATAGAACGAAACTCCCTCATCTCTTCTGAATAGCCATAATGACTACCATGCAATACAGTGACCTCAAAGAACCAAGGACTGCAGAGTATATCCTCTCCATTAGCCTGCCAGAGTTCTGTATTATTTTAATTACTTTGCACTCCGTGTTACTCCACTTTAAAACACAATGAACTTAATCCAAACTTGTTTTATCAAATAACTGCGTGCCTGCTCATGTGGCACCTAAACATGTTTGCAAAGCATGCTGCAGTACACGACAGCTTCCAGAATCTGTAAACAAGCTATCTTAAGCACAGGGATCAACCTAGGAGAAGGAGCAACAAAACAGTATCCCTTTTTTTGTGTGTGTTTATACTAAAACAATGTATAAGAAATTAAAACAATGAGGCCATGGAAGACTTCAGAAAGTGAAGTTCCAGATAGCTGATCTTTTTGAAATTTTGGAAGAAGAGATGTATTAGAAGGCACTGAATTTTTTTAAAATGAAGGAATGTGCATGACAGTTAAAAGAGACTTCTTTCTGCAGGGAATGGTGGCACCAGTCTACTGACCTGACCTGACAGAGGTCTGTTGCTTGCCAGCGGCCAGAATCCAGGACACTGTGGAAGGACTGCCAGCCTTGTCTGACTGTTGACCTATTACCCCTTCCTGCTCTTCTATGTGGGTACCAGTGATATGGCCAGGGGTCACCTGGAAAGTTTCAAGGGCAATTGCAGAGCTCTGGGGGCATGGTGAAGGGCAGGAAACCCAGGTGGTGTCTCCTCAGTCCTTCCAGTGAGAGGGAAAGGCTTGAGCAGAATTGAACTCATCCAGCAGGTCAACACCTGTCTGCACGGTTGGTGTCACAGGCAGCACTTTGGCTTCTAAGATCTTGGGACCCTTTCTGAGAAATGAGGGCTACTGAGCAGTCATGGGATGCATCTCGCCAAGTGCGGTGAGAGTGTCTTTGCAAACAGGTGTGCTAACTTGGTCCTTGTGCTCTATGTAAAGGAGTGCCTTGGACACATAGGGCTCTGTCTGAGGACAAATGACGAACAAGTAAGAAAGCTTGTGAGTGGGCATCAGAGAACACACCAACACAGGTGTCAATGTAGTAGATGTTTTTTCCAGATCTCCCAATCAAAAAAAGGAGTTAGATGAGACCTTCTTCAAGTAGCTAGAGAAAGTCTCTCAGCCACAGGCCTTGGCACTCAAGAGAAACTGCCCTGGAGGGCAAAGCTGCTGTTTGATCTAAAAGGACAGACTCCTCAGAGCACAAGAATGGTTCAATGTGCAGAAAATCAAGCAAATGTGCCAGGTGAGCATGGCAGGATAAGAAGCTACAGTCTGAGCTCGCAGACAAAAAGGAAGTATGCAGAAGGTAGAAGTGATTTGGGAGGAATACAAAGACATCATCCACACATGCAGGGATGGAGTCAGGAAAACCAAAACTCAGCTGGAGTTGACCCTAGTGAGGGAGGTGAAAACAGTAAAGAGTTTTATGACTGCGCTGGCAGCGAAAGGGAATTTAAGGAGAATGCAGGCCTTTTGCATACTGAGTTGGGGGAACTTATTGAGAAGGGACATGGGAAAGGCTGAGGTACCTGGCGCTCTTTTAGCTCAGTTTTCACTGATATAGTTAGTCTTTGGGTTTCCCGGGTATCCTGAGCTATAAAGCTTTAACTTAAAATACCACAGAAGAAGAAACCAAGAGTCTCAGCAAATTCAGTTTATCAGTGTCAGACATGAAAAAATGTTGTTGAAATTATGTTACTCTTAGTGTTATCCTTTTTTTTTTGTTTGCTCCCAATGCCAGTAATTTTCGATTGTGAAAACAAAGTGTAAAGGCTGACCTGTAATACAATATATGTTTGCCATAGTGTATTAGTAAAACAATACAAGTTTATAGCTGACAGTGGTAAAACAATAAATTTTGTAATACAGTAATTGCTAGACCTTGACATAATCAGCAACACGAAGATTGCTAATGATTATTAAAAAAATACTAGGCAATTCAGACTATGTGTGAACTGAATATTCATTATAAACTGTGTATTAAAGGACTTTATGACGTATCTTTACTGTAACACACTTTTATTCCAATGTCACACAGAGTTTTCTATAAGCTCTCTTTGCTGCAACACCAACGAGATTCGGAGAAGTAATGCAGTTTTGCAGCAGTTAGTTGTGCTTGTAAGAAAACTCATCTATGAAATAGCAAGCCCGATCCGGACCAAGATCCAAATAGCAGGAACCTAGGGAATGCCTTCCATCAGCCACTAAGTGGCCAAATCCGGTTGTACGACGGGCAGATTTTTCCTTTGCAGTCACTATGTGCCACCCTGTGGTCATTTGACGCAATTCTGCCACAGCTAGAACAGCGTAGGTGTCCTGTCTACTCTTGCAGCGGAACGCAGCAATCTCGCTCCTCCCCTATTGCTGCGAAAAGACTTGGAAAGCCAAGGTCTGAATTTGACTTTCAGTAGCCTAAATGATTCTCTCAGTAACCTGTGCTTATTCACACTGCCCTTCTGCTTTCTCTCACATTTGTTTTCCTTTTATTTAACATTGTACAGCTTCAACTCTTGGACCAATAGATGTGTTGCTTGTATATGATATCTGGATAAGCTATTCATATTTCATATATAGAGAAATTTAATTCACGTCCATCAACTCATACTTCTTAAGTGAGTACACATTTCTCAGCCCAGTATTTACAGCCCAGCTCTACCCTTTCACAGAGATGCAGTCAACACTGGAAGGACTCCAATCCAGGACATCTCTAACAGGTCTTAGTGAAAGAAGTGCCTTTTCTGAGTTTTGTCACAGCCAAAGCTGCGATATGTTCAAGTCTTGATTAACCATGCTTCTCCTCTTTGTTCCACACAGTCACAGTCATTCAGTGTATCTCCCACTATATTTCACACAGAGGATCAGGGATAAAAAAAATGGGGCAACATGGCGTAACAGGGTGCCTGAAAGGCACAACCACAATAGAATATGGTGCTGCATATGAGGAAGGCTGCACCATATAAGAGACATTGTTTTTCTTTTTATCCATGAGTATTGGTAAATGCAAACATATGTATTAATGTTAAATGAGGGTGAAGAAATTCCTCTTACCTTATACTTTAAGTTGATTTCATATTTAAAACACATGTCTTTGTTAGAATGACTTATTTGGGGTCGTTGCCATTGAAATATGCAAGAATTTTTAATTTCATCACAGTTGACAGTGATATCTGATGGAGGCATGAGCTTTTCTGAAATGATATAACCAAGAATTCAAATAATTGAAATAACTTGATCTCTTTTTGCTTTGATAAAAGACAGTGCAATTGAATATAACACCTCTATGAAGAAAGATACTCATTTGCATCTACTTTTTTTAGGAACTCTGTCAGAAATAATTGAAAGACCAAAGTTCTTTAAATCCTGTCCCCAGGATCACAAAAAACAGGGACTAAACCAGGGAACATGACTTAACAAGATTACAAAGATGCAATCCCCCCTCCATTTAGTTTTCTAGATGAATACGATGAAGTCCTGCCTTTGTTTTATAAGAATGTTTTTTACTGCAGAGCAATAAGCTGATGCTAACTCTAATGCAAGAAATTCAAAGGTCATTTCTTTCTTCCAGCCTCCTCACGACGCTTCTGTGACATGAAGGTATTGCTTACTCAGTGTTGTGAACTATGCAATTAACTCCCTCTTCCAAAAATTTAGGTATACAAATTTAAGAACGACACTTCAGTTTTAGCAATCCAGCCAACTTCTTCACTTATCTCCCTTGATTTCACAAATGTGAATAAACATATGAGGATCATTATTACATTTTGATTATCCCCAAGGACTTGATTATTTTAACAGCAAGAGACAGTCACTTATGACAGACAGCATGATAAAAGGCTGATAAAGGAAACCTTAGTTTCGGATAGACTATTATTTACACTAATATTTAGAGAGAGGCCTGACCTATTTGTGGTTGTCTAGCTGTTCAAAGAAAAGTCTTGTTTTATCTGCCATGAATGGTATTACAACTGAATTCCTTTTCTTTACAGAATGAAGGCTTATTTATCCTTTTTATGGAGGTAATACCAAAAAACAGTGAAACTTTGCCAAAAAGGCTTTGCCACAGTAAAAAATAATTACACAGGATGCTTCCAAGTAGAGCACCACATGTGAAAGAACATGTGAAAACCTGGAGTATTTTATACAAGTATTAATTTCTTGAGTCAAGGGTATAGTGTCAGTGTATGCCATTCCCACTGGCAATGAGAAGGAGAAATTAGTGTTCAGATAAACTTCTCCTGAAAGGTCTTCTGTGTTGAAAAGTCTTTGGCCATCATTGAAAGGACAGCAGGGGGAAACATGATCTCTGAAGTCCCGTGGACCTTGCTGGAGAAAGATCTAAAAACAATAAAGGTAGATTGCTAAACAACCTGAGATAGGATGCAGCTCTGGAGCTCTCTTCCTTAGATCTCCTCATTGCTCTTTTGTTTGGGGAATAGGTTTTATTGAAAAGGACGTGATCTCTTACTTTTGACTCTAGGTAAGACAGGGAACTTGGCTCCTTCTTAGGGATGAATGCTCTACTAACCTCATGCAATAACAAAAATAAAGCAGAAAGAAATTATTTACTTACCAATTTTATATAGGTTAATGTACTCTTCATAGAACTGGATCAGGGAGTCTTTGCTAGACCCGTTCACCAGGAAGTAAGCTTTTTCAGTCTTTATCGACACATTTTGGAATCTACATCCCGTGTTTCTGCCATTTCCATCTTTAATGTAAAGCTCACATTCCATCTCATTGTCATATCTGTATATAGCAAGGTATTTTAGTTAAACATGGGCAGTGTGATGTGTCAAATGAGAATTCAGACTTCCTTAGACTCCAGCAGACCAATTTACCTTGATTTCTGCCAGTAGAGAAAATATTGGGTATCTCCTGGAGCATCCCTGCCTGCCTGCCATGTGCAGTTCATGAGGGAAACATTATAAATCACACAGGAGAAGTTTTCAATGGCTGATCCATTCATGCCTGCAAACACAGGAATATCTGTGATGAGGAAAAATGGTGTGACTACTCCAAGCTGGAGGATCTTGACACATGCTTAGATACGTGAGACACCTGCAACTCCAGCTGACTTTTGCTTGAGTTAGGAATGATTTGCTTCATTTTAGGTAGTAACACTGGAAGATATTTAATGACAGATTGAATGAAGAATTTGTCATGGATAAATCATCCAAAGATATGATTGTATCTGTATTTGATATAGTAAGTCTCAATGGAGCTGACACTGCTCTAGTACAGTCTGACACCTAAAGTGGGTATCCCTGTGCTTTGAATTGTTCCCGTTCAAAAGGAGACACTGGTGTCACAGTGCCAACTGAAACATTTGCCTGTCATCCTTCAGTACCCTGACAAAGCACTTCTATTTGAAAGGTGTTCTTCATCACCCTGTAAAATGAATGGAGAACATGTGGAGCTTTCCTGTGGACTCCAGAGTGCAGAGCTATGAAGTTTTTCTAGGCTTCGGGGAGGTGTAGATGCAAACTTGGGAGGTGTTCATGCTCTGCAGTGATACCTTCTTCCACCTGGGATTAACATGAGGAATCTTCTCCTAATCACAACCGTATCAATTTACACCTTAATCCCCACCCCCAGCAAAACCCGGTAAGGAGGTTAAACATGACTTATCCATCCTTTTACAAGGAATCAGCAAACAGTTCGAGCTTGATGAGGCAGGTAGTGCCATTTTGTACATGCCAAATCCGTGTTGCTTAAATGAGCAGATCTTGTACCTCATTCTCAGAACAGTCTCATATATATTACCCCTTTCATACAAAGAGGAGTAAATTCTGTCAGATCTTTCATAATTGTGGATGGGACACTGCAAAGTGTTGGGCATTACACCATGAGTTATGCCATGACAAAACTCAAGGTGTCACAGATTTCTCAAGGAAGAATTTCAAAACTACAGCCACAAACCTGTTTCACTTGGATTTTTAATACCATTTTAAAGACATCCAAATGCTTGGAAACTCCTTTTCTTTTCATAGAAACACTGTCATAAGGCTGTGAAGAAGAACCTGTTCATCCTACAGGAAACAAATTAATTAAGGAATAAAGGATTTCAGTTTTTATTTTACTCCCAGGTCATTGGAAGTAGGCAAATCCTTTCCTAAAATCTAGTGTATTACCTTGAGGAATATATCTGCATATGCTTGAGTATGTGCTATTCGTGTCCACTGCTGTAACAGAAAAGCTTGCCCCATTGTGCTATATTTCCAAATGTGCACTTCATATTCTCTGCCTGAAAAAGATCATTCGGAAGATTTACACCTTGAGTTTTTCATCTATTGGTTTATACAGTGCTACTCCCTGTAGAAAGGGCTTAAGCTTGTGCTTGATTTGTAACAGTGGAACTACTACAACAGTGAAGCAGGTACTGATGTCTTCCCAGGCTTGACAACTCTCTTCCCAGAAGTTCTGGGCAATGAAATTTTAGCAGCGCAAGGTGAAGAGTTCAATATTTCTCTCCAGAAAAGCTCATGGCAGTGTTGTTAGGAATAGCAGTTTCTCCCCTCCTTCTACCCATAGTCCACCATAGTCCACCAAATCCACCTCAAAATAGAGCATATGTGCTTTCACAAGAATCAACGGATGTCTATAATATGCTTTACACTCCTTTGAAAGACAAAGGGAGATACCCCACAAATGACCGCCTGGACAAGGAGCTGGCTTGAGATTCATCTCCACTAACATGAGCTTTCTAAAAACCAGCACCTAATTTGAGCAAGTCATATAGGTGCCTTGTCTATACATTAGTGAAGGAAGATGCAAACATTGACATATAAGATGCATGGGTTACACTGCCTTCAGGCAGAGGCTGTACCTCTCTAGTAGCTCCTGTCAGAGCTTAGAGGACTGTATTTTCCACGCTTAGATAGCTGAAATGAAGGTGACATGAATCTACCCAAATCTGTGATTACCCATACAGGTGATACAACTCCATGGAATATCACAGGAGTCCCCAGATGTCAGAATTTCTTAGGAACTGCCTCTAGAAACATTAGTGTCACAAAGTGAATATCAAACCCATTTTTTAAAAAGGTAATAAGGAAGATCCCACGAACTACCGACCAGCTAGCCTCACCTCCGTGCCTGGTAAAGTCATGCAACAGATCCTCCAGGAAGTTATGTTGGAGCATACAGAAGACAAGAAAGTGATTAGAGACAGTCAACATGGCGTCATCAAGGGCAAATCGTGCCTGAGTAATCTAGTACTCCTCTACAACAGAGTGACTGCATGAGTCAATAAGGGAAGAGCAGTAGATGTCATCTACCTGGATTTCGGTAAGACCTTTGACATGGTCATCCACAACATTCTTGCATCTATATTGAAAAGATATGATTTTGACAGATGGACCATTAGATGGATAAGGAATTGGTTGAATGGATGCACCCAAAGACTTACAATAGTCAATGGCTCAATGTCCAAGTGAAAACAGTAATGAGCGGTGTCTCTCAAGGGTCCATACTGGGACAAATACCATTTAATATCTTCATTAATGACATAGATAGTGGGATTGAGTGCACACTCAACCAGTTTGTGGATGACAAGCTGAGTGGGGCAACTGATGCACTAGAGGGAAGGAATGCCATCCAGAGGGACCTCAACAGGCTTGAGGAACAGGCCTGTGCAAACCTCATGACATTCAATCAGGCCAAGCGCAAGGTGCTGTACTCAGGTTCAAACAACTCCCAGTATCAATACGGACTGAGGAATGAATGGATTGAGAGCAGCCCTGCAGAGAAGTATTTAAGGATACTGGTGGACAAAAAATTGAACATGAGATGGCAATGTGTGCTTACAGCCCAGAAAGCCAATCATGTCCTGGGCTACATAAGAAGTGTGGCCAGCAGATTGAGGGAGGTGATTCTGCCTCTCTACTCTGCTCTTGTGAGATCCCACCTGGAGTACTGCATCCAACCTGGGAGTCCTCAGGGCAGGAAAGACACGGATCTGTAGGAGCAGGTCCAGAGGAGGGCCACAAGAATGATCAGAGGACTGGAACCCCTCTCCTATGAAGAAAAGCTGAGACAATCAGGATTATTCAGCCTGGAGAGGAGCAGGCTCTGAGGACACCTTATTGCAGCCTTTCAGTATACAAAGGGGGCTTACAAAAAAAGACATAGACTTTTTACGAAGGCCTGTAGTGACAAGACAAGAGCAAAGGTTTTAAACTGAGAAAGGGCAGATTTATATTGGAATTAAGCAATATTTTTTTTTTATGATGAGGGTGGTGGGACACTGGAAAATGTTATGCAGAGAAATTGTGGGTACCCTGTCATTAGAAGTACTCAAGGTCAGGCTGGATGGGGCTTTGAGTAACATGATCTAGTGAAAGATATCCCTGTTCATGGCAAGCAGGTTGAACTAAATGATCTTTAAAAGTTCCCTTCCAACACCATCGATTCTATGATTGTATGAACCTGCTTGGCCCTCAGGAGCCACTCCAGAAGTACTCCAGAAACATCTTCACAGGCTTCTGTCTCACCAGTCAGCCCTGAGCAAGCACATCTCTGTATCTCCAATGTCCCTGAATGCTTATGTCTTTTTTGTAGGTAAGTCAGTGAGGACCTATGTATCTAATGCAGTCTGTCCTTCATACTTAAAAATTCATGCCTACCTCACCAAAATTCCTCTGAAACCAGGACAAGAGCCAATCTCACATTTCAGTCGCATCAAGGGCCTGATTCCACAAGAGTCCTCTGAAGGCAAGTATTTCACAAGAATGGCCAGAGAGGGCAGATACATCTCAGTACCAAGAGAGGTCTCAACACAAACTAGAAAGAACTGCTAAAACAGACTATCTGGTTCCTACCAAGGATACTTTTTTCAATTACTCAAGGATATGAAAGACAAAGAAGAAAGTGTAGTGATTTATCTCCATTAAAACTTTACATAGCAAATTTACCGTTAGTCTCGGTAAAATCTCCTGCAGTTACTGAGCACCAGTCCTCAGTGAAATTCATGCTGCTCATCCAACTCAGTTCCATATTCCACTGATTAAGCATCAAATTTCCAATAGGTGAGTCTGGCATCTCTGTTGCTAGTGTCACATAATAGGATCAGTAAGGTGCAGGATTGATTCCCAGATTTTTGGGTGCAGAGATTACTACCTGGCACATCTAAGACAGAAGGCAACTTAAGCAGAACTACCCATAATGAAAAGCACATTGCACTCTATCTCAGAGTATCTCCCTGTGGAAGCATTCTACTCACAGTCTGTGCAGTGCCAGCCAGCACACAACTGGGTGATCAGCAGCATCCACTGGGTCGTGAAGATGAGTGCAAGTGAAGCAACCATCTCTTCCTCCTTGGAGACAGAGAACAGTGAAAATTGCTCAAGGTGAAAGGTGCCAGCATGAATCACTCTCCTCTGAATTTGTCTAGTCTGATCTGCTCATATGCCTGCTTCTACACCATCTGACCATCTCACAAAGATTAGATAGACTTCTCATGCAGTCAGAGAAATGTTCAAATAAAGAGTAATGAAGTTAAAGACGTTGTCCTTTTCTGTAACGAAACAATTTATGTGATGATTCATAAAGCTGGTGATCTTGGAAGCCCTGTATAAATGTTACATACATGCATTTGATGACTGCTATCTTAACGTCTAAAGATTATTTACCTATCTGCTATATACAAAAGTTAGGATGAGAGATGTTAAACAGGTGGGTAAACAGCTGCAAACAGAAAATACCAAAATGAATCATTTTGAATCATTGGCTCAAGTTACCCAATGATGAGTACGGTAAGTTTGGTGAGGGTGTTAGATCGTTGTAGTTCGTGTAATTTCAAGGTTGTTTTTGAGTACATGCTTAAAAGTTGATCTAGGAGCAGTGTCTAGTTTCTACAAATTCAGTACCAAGCCCAGTAAGAAAATCAAAATTGTGGCTAGGACATTTCTTAGCAAGCAGTAGGTACTTTGATTGTGAAAAACTTCATTCAACTTTAGCACCATGTATTCCTCTAACAGCCTTTTAGATTTCGCCTGGAGCATCACCTCTCCAGCCTTGGGATTCCTAGGGTCTCACTCAATAGCTCAGCAAATCAAATAGTCAGAAAGACAAAGATGGACCTACCTTTTGTTTCAAAATGTCTTTAGCTTGTTTATCTTTGTATCATAGTCTTCAGGCTCAGAGAAGATGGAAAGACTCGTACTTTAAATGGTTGTATAGCTATAAATAGGACTGTCTCCCTTGCTGCTGCATTTTGGGGAACTGTTGTATCATAGGAAGTGTTGCAAGAAGTTTGTCGCTTCCCTCCTGATTCTTACCAAATCCATGCAATTGCACAATTCATGATTTCACATAAATGTACAAGCACTTAGCTGGTTAAATATTCCTTGCTGTTGTACAGGGATCACTGATGCTTGGGAATCTAATGAGTGCATAACCATGTTCTTTTACAGATGTTTCTCTCTAGCTCTAAATAATGCTAATTAGTACAAAGCACCTCTCAATACAAACGATTTCTGGGGCTGGGAGCAGTGGGGACTCCCCACAGGGCTCAGGGCAGGGTCTGGCAACCAGAGCCCATCCCAGCCCCAGCCAGGTCATTGACGGGCACCAGGGCAGCTCCAGCCCCTGGCATGGGGCACCTCCCTTGGGGATGGGGATGGGCCAAGGCCAGGACATGGGTCCATGGGTGGGCCAGTTAGGTGGGGCCCATGGTCAGGCAGAGCAGGGCTGGGACGAGCTGGAAGCTGGCCCTTCTGTGTCCTTGCTGGGACACGGGCTGATGGCCCTAGGGGGCTGACATGGGTCCTGGGCCTTGCTGTCCTGGTTTTGACTGGGACAGATTTAGTTTTTCTTTTTAGCAGCTAGAAGAGCTCTGTGGTTTGGAGTTAGTAAGGGATTTATTATGAGAAAAATATTGACAGTACACTGATGTTTATAGTTGGTACCGAGACATCAAGGAGCTTTCAGCTTCCCATGTTTTTGTCAGTGTGCAGGAGCACAACAGGCTGGCGGGGAACATGACCAGGACAAAAGACCCACAACTGCACTTATGATTTGAACATTTGAGCCAAATTGTACTCCACAACTGATATGGCTAATGTGTTTTTCTCAACTCCTTTGGCAGCAGAGTGCAGGCCACAGTTTGCTTTCACTTCGAGAAGTGTCCAGTACACCTGGAATTGACTGCTGTGAGGTGGAAACACAGCTCTATCATTTGCCATCCAGACTACACTGGAACAGGGTAAAGCTGTGGAACACCCGCAATACATTGATGATATCATCATATGGGGCAAAACAGCAGGAGAAGTTTTTGAGAAAGGAGAAAATAAACCAAATCCTTCTGAAAGCCAGTTACTTCCTTCTGAAAGTAAGGTCAAGGGACCTGCATGGGAGATTCAGTTTTTAGGAACAGAATGGCAAGACAGATGTTGTCAGATCCTAATGGATGTAATTAATAAAAGAACGGTGGTGTCTCCACCAGCTAACAAAAAGGAAACACAAGCAGTGGGCAATGAGCAGGGAGGGGAAGCACCAAGGGGCTGGGCAGGGATGGTCTCTGGGGGCATTCAAGGAGATGACAATGCAAGTTGTAAAAATTCCTTAAGCCTGTGGAAAAAGAGGATTTCAAATCTTGGATATGAAGTCTTCAAATAAGCTATATCACTATCAAAAGTTGTGATCTGGGTTTGTTCTCAGTTCATTTCTCCCAGTATCAAAAAAAAAAAAAAGGCACAACATTTCAAGTAGTAAGCATCTGACTACAAAAAGCCACTCCAAGACTTGCAGCTGAACATTTGTTCCCTTCTCAG